AAGTGTTAACCTAATAAGGGGATCATGGGAGATATATATAGGAGATATAGGAAGAAGTACTAATCCTAATAGGACTAGGATTAATACACAGTAAATACTAATATTATTTAATACTATTTATTTAATACTATCTGTTATTAGTTTGGCTAAGTAGTATAATTTTATAAGTGAAACTGAACCTGGTATTTGAGTTTTGCCTCTTTAGATATAGGTTTTCTAGTTGGGGTGGGTAGGGATTAATAAAAGGATTCGAATTTGGGTTAACATTTTATTTGTTTAGGTTAATTCATTTTTATTATTTTAATTTATTTTAATTTTATTAAGTACAACTCAATTCGTCTATTTAATACCCCTATATTAAAGTGATCAATTTAATAAGCCAAAAGGCAATAAAGATGGCGTGTAAAAATTAAGGATCAATTTAATTTCGATTGTGTAAAAGTTAGTGTAAATAACTTTTTCACACTCATTCAAAAGATATTCAGCTGGCCTTTGATCAAAATTTTTTAAATATTGTTGGCAAATCATTTTTCATGTGTTTGGCCATTTATTAGGGAGAAGTATTTGACTTTTTAAAAAAACATGATTTATTCATATATATTTTTAAAATAATTAAATTACTCATAAGCTTGTATAATTATTTTATAATAAAAATGTTCAACATAATTAACATGAATTTGAAAAGAAGAACGAAGCAAACGAAAGAAAATCTTTGATAATAGGTTATTCATTTAGTGATTTCGATACAATAATAGAGTATGTGAAATCTTACAAGTAAAATCTGAAAATAATAAAATGTACACAGATCTTATCACTATCTCGTAGAAGTAGACATTCAGTGCACGAAAGATCATAGACTCAAGTGCAATAAATCTCAGTATAAAGATGAAGGAGTCAATGAAGAGAATATAACAAATAACAAGGAAAAAGTGCAAAAGTCAGCCAAAACAATAAAATCATGTGATAATTGAAATAACATAGTATTAGGATAAATTATTTGAAAACATAATAAACAATGAGAAAACTACAATAATACAACTTACTATCGCAATCACCAGACACCCTAAGCAAGACAATATACCACAATACCATCCAACTTTCTGTCCTAATACATGCTCACCACACCCTTTTATCTAGGGTTAATTATATCCTTCGTGACCTGAAGTTGCATCATATCATGTTTTTATCACCTTTCCTTAATACTTCTTTGATCTACATTTAACTCTATTCGTACACTCTATAACCAACCTCACACACCTTCTTAAAGGTGATTCTATGCATCCGCTCTCCACATGTTCAAATCATCTCAGTCTCACTTTCATCATCTTGTCCACCAGAAAGGTTACTCCTATATTTTTCCAGATATCTTTATTTCTTCTCTTATCGCTCCTAGTATGACTTCACGTCCACCTTAACATCCACATCTCCTTCATATGCATCTTCTAGTTATCTCAAACCCCCAATTATTCTATATTTATACTATTTGATATATAAAACTGTTGATCGACTTAGTCTGTGGTCTCATAATTTTATTTCTAGTTGTCCCAACTCTCGATTATTTTATAATTTGTTGACTTTTACTTATTAGCAAAATGCAACATGTCAAATCATGTGCGTTGTTCATTTAGTTCGTCACCTTATTTCTAATTAAGCGATTTTGGTCAAATCTTAACTGTTAAATTGATAATCGAAGTGACAGCGATCAATAAGTCAAAGGGTTCTCAAATGATTTCCTACAAATTAATAATGAATAAATCAAATCAATTAACTCCAAAATCGAATCGAACTGATAATTGCCCTAATTAAAACTCATGTTACTTTTTTTAAAAAAAAAGAAAAAGAAAATGGCAACTATGGGTCCAAGGATTTTCGCCCCTTAGTCAAAGTGAATAGTCCGAATGAGCATCTTCTCCCCCAAATATCAGATTCCATTAATTGCTTCTGAAATTCTTATATCAATTTGGTAAAATTGTTGCAATGTTTTGTAATCTTTTTCAGTTTCTTCAATTCTTCATAAAAATGTTGCTTCCCTTCTTCCTGCTGTCCATTCTCTCTCTTCCTAACAGGTGAGTTTCACTTGCTTATTGTCTTTTTTATTATCTGCACAAACCATTTTTGGTACTGAAAATGAATAGATACAAAGCATTCCTATAATTAATTCTCAAAACAAGTTTAGGATTGAAGTATTAGTACAATTATTGTGGTGATTTTGAAGATCAAGGCCATATTCTTGCCTTTTATACAATTATTATTGTGGTTATTTGTCCCTATTATTGTGTTGTTTGCAATAAATTTTCTCAAGTCTGGAAAATAACTGCAGTCAGCTAAACAATGTGAATCACCAAGAGTTTATGGGATATTCGAGATACTACCGTTTATATAAGCGTGAGCTAGAGTTTGGGGTAGAGTAGCCGACCTCTAATAACCCTAATATGGTTGAGCTTGTCCACAAAATTTCAATGTCTACATGTGTACTCGACTTAGATTTCTTATATGGTCACTCAGCTAATAGTTATTATTTAGAAACTCACTTTCTTTGTGAAGAAAATTGGAATCGAGAAGAGAGGTGACTTTCTGAGATAATAACTGTTACTTGAGTGTGTAAGATATCTAACTCACTTCTTGTGAGTTGGTCGAACTTTAGTTCTCGATAGCCATTCGATTTTAATCAATCGGAGTCAGCTATAATACTCACATTCTGTGCTTCTCTTTTGTCAATGTTCTAATGTTGTAGATGTTCGGCAGACTCTTCTACAGAAACAGAAAGGACATTGGCTATAATAAAGCCAGATGGTGTTTCTGGAAACCATACAAATTCCGTTAAGGAGACAATTCTCAATCATGGATTCAAAATCACAGAGGAATCGCTCATTCAGCTTGATGAGGATCGTGTGAAAAGATTTTATGCTGAGCACTCTTCAAGGAGCTTCTTTCCAAGCCTTGTTGAATACATGACCAGGTAAACGTTTCCCATCTAGAGATGGTATTTGATTCTGAATTTTCTGGTGATCCCCATTCCGTTTTGAGGGAAGTAAAAACTGCAGGTTATAGTATAGGGTGTAGGCTAGTTTAATTTGGTATCAAGTGGTTGTTGAGAACATTTATACGGTTAAACTAAGAATTTGTAAAGAAAAGAATCATTTCCTTTTGAAAATGGACGATATTTGATGATGGGTTGTTAGTTGTTACATAACCAAAAGGCATTGCAGCCTAACATGACTGTTGCATCTGCCTCTAGATTGGAGCTATTATATTTGGTTTTTTAACAGGACAACAGGAAGTAGTATATTGAGTGATAACTCTCTGATACCACTTCATATCACACGACTCAGCAGAACGCAACAAATACGAGGAAATCACTTAGAAAGAGTAAAGGATAGATTGAATTTTACGGATTAGAATAACACAAACTCAAGGATTTAACTTCACTTGAATCCTTGTTATCATTAATGATCATTCCCCAAGACAGTAGCGATAGAACCCAAGAAAAAATCATATAAAGAATATAATTAGTCAATTCCGAACAAATACGAAAGAACCTATTAATTAATATTCCAAACAAGTGAGACTTGAGGTTCTTCAGCGATCAGAAAGATTGGAAGGTGGCATAGGTTGTATGTGGAAATTTGGGACAGCCGGACAGGAAGCAAAAACCCTTGTTTGTTTGTTGACAGAAAAATGGGAGCTTTAGTGTTTTCTACTCCCTGTTCAGTCAGTGGTGATGAAGGATGTTACTTCCATCGAGGCATTTGCTAGACAAAAGCACCTGTAAGGCAGCTATCTTGGTTGTGAATGATATGTATTGCAAAAGACAACCTGGATAATTTGCAAAGATGGGGAAAACTCTGTATGGGGTGGTTTGTGTGAGAAAGGATGAAGAAGTATATGAATCACCTCCTTTTTCATATGGTTGAGCATGTTTTATGTGCCTTTTGGAGCGGGATAGTTTTGGAACGTCTAGCAATGTTGAAAGTGTTTTAAATATAAAGGAAGTCCAAGTATCTTGGTTGTGTAATCGTATACTTGAGACACAATTGAATGGAACAAAGGTTTGTAAAAGATATATTTTCTTCAATCGAGAGAAACAAAAATAAGTTCTCTAAATGATATAGAAACCTTTATAGAGATTTAAATTTTGTATGAATGATATAGAAAACTCTTCATCAAAAAGTACATACTTTAGAAAGTTGTACGAATCTTTTGAGTGGTTTAAAGATTTAGTTTAATATAACTCATTGCTGCCTTTTCATCCATTTCAAATAAAGTACCTTGTTTATTGAGGAAAAAAAAGGTCTTTTGTCCATGTAATTAGTGAAAGATCTGTCAATCGGATATATGCTATTATGTTGAATTAGAATAGTTTCATAGACTGATTTCTCGTGAGAATTTTTTACAGCTGCTCCTCCTCCCTTCTCATCCATTTACTACTCCTTTTTTCCTTCATTAACCATTTATCGGCAGTGGTCCAGTGTTGATAATGGTTCTGGAGAAAGGGAATGCCATAGCTGATTGGCGTGCATTAATTGGTCCCACAGACCCACTCAAGGCAAAGGTTACTCATCCTCACAGGTTTAGACCTCCTCTCTTCCTTTTCTTTTCTATTTTTACGTCTATTATTACTATTGCATGGGCAATATAGTTAGAATATTAGAAAACTAAATAGATAGACATAGATAAGTTTTCCTTCCTTGCAAAAAAGGGTTACTACCTCAATTTAACTCATGTGACCTAGTGGCAATGAAGTAGGTTGAGAATCATGAGGTCTCAAATTCAAATCAAACACTAGGTGATTTTTTTCCTTTTGTTGTAGACTTGGTGGACAGAGTTATGACACTTGTTGCTTTTGGGGGTGTCAAGTGTCCTATAGAATTAGTCGAGGTGCGAGAAAGCCGCAAGCTGGCCCCAACACCATGGTTATTAAATTAAAAAAATGCTTTCTCAAAGATTTGCTTGTTAAAAAAGAAACATAGTGAAATATGTGTAACTTTGATTTCCCTTAGTATGAGGTTACTTTCCCAAAGAAGTTGTCTCCTTCATGGAAATAAAACATTATTTTTACTGATATTCCTTCAAATTATGTGACTCTTCTCGTTCCAGATATGATTAATATTATATCTATAACAGCTACCATCTTCTCGCTTTCTTTGTCAGAGCATTTGCAAGTTTGGTTCTCGACTACCTCAGTGATTGACGATGTTAAAGTTGTTGGTAGTGCCTTAGACTCCATACATAGCACATAGTTAAAGAAATTGTCAGCCCAAGTTGTCCTTTTACATTGAAAATTATTTTTAGGCTTTTGTTAATTCTGAACAAGACATGTTCTTTTCACCTGTGTTTTTATACATACAGTGTCAGAGCCATATGTGGGCTGAACTTACAGGAGAATTGTGTTCATGGTTCTGACTCACCTCAGTCTGCTAGCCGGGAAATATCTTTCTTCTTTAAAACGACATCATCAGGTCAAATTACTAAGCCCATTTTATGTTCTAATTATGTGTATGCATTTTATTCTTGACAATGAAAAGAAAAGGCGGTTTTTGTTGGCTATGACATGTTAATGATATTTGGTTTTGCTGGCTGTGACATTTTGTTCAGGCATCAACAACCATTACCTTTTAGATTATAGGCTTATGCATACCTTTATTAACCTTTTTTAGATTGAGACAAACGAATTTAGTCCTTCAGCCTCTGGGATCATGGGATTAACAGTTACAAGGATTCCTACACTTCCAATCCATTGCCTCTCTAAACCTTTTAAATGGTTCCTCTAAACCTCCAGATTTCGAGATGAGATTATATGAGAGGAAAAATGTCCTTCCTCTCGAGTGCAAATGCCCTCCTCCCCCAATTCCCGAACCAAACAAAAGAAGACAATACAATACTAGATATGTAGAATAAGGGGCAAATATATCCCTCAACTGTGAGATTTAGAGTGTATATACCTCTTGCTAAAAAAGTGGTGCATATATACCCTATAACAAATGGTGCATACTTCTTATTTAGCCCCCCCCCCCCTTCCCCCCCTCCTTTTTTTAACCGATTGAATTAAAGTAAAATCCTAAAACTGGTTTAAAAGGGGTAAATATGCACTATTTGTTAGACGACGGAGGGGTCTATGCACATCTTTTTAAGAAGGTTATATCTACTCTAAATCGCTAAATTGATACGTATATTTTCCCCTTTTCCCTTAAGAAAATAACTGTACCTGTCTTTTGCTTGGTTGATGTACCAAGCATACTGACTAGAATTGAAATGTAATCCCTATTTTAGCATTTTCTTTTTGGAGAGATCTAGTGCAATCAATCTCGTGATGTATTTTTGGAGGTAAGGTTCGGCCCCCCTCGTGTGCCACCTTTCTGGTGAAATTGATAGCCTATTAATTAAAAGAATCAGAGACTAAAGCATACTTGTTGCCATTGAGATTCTTTGTCTGATTAACGTTCTACACAAAATCCGTTACTTTGCAGGATATGCATCTAAGCATGATGAATTATAAGTCATTGAAGAACAATCGAATCGTGCCCATTCAGATTCCTCTATGAACAGATTGTTGCAGCGAACTTAAATTGAGTTGTCCTCTGAGATATTGTATCCTGCAAGCTAATGAAAGTCAGATGGAGCTTACATTATATGAGTTTAGTTGTCAGTATTTTCGAAATGTAACATAGATATATGTATATTTTCAAAAGTACGATGAATTCAGTATTTTCAACATGTAATATATAGATATATGTGTCAAATTACACATTTCAGATCATGTATTACACTGACTGAACAAGGAACAACATAAACTACTACATTAGCTTGATCACCATGTGCTACTTGAAACTGAATCTACATATTTTATATGATTTTGGACAATTTTATCCCTCGAGAGACCCTTTCATTACTAATATCATGGTTTGTCGTTTATTAGTTATACATAATATCAAGTAGAATGTGTCATTGATTATACGTAGTTTGAAAAAGTGTACCAAACAAGGTATAATTAGTAGAAGTGAAGAACAAAACTATTATGCATGCATGCATACATTCACATGAACGAAATATTGTTTCGAAAGTAACTCTGGTTCGCCAGTTCAAACTCAACTTCTTGCTATATATTAGCGGACCCACAGGTCGGATCATGGCTCTACGCTCTTTCTTTTTGTGTGACTATATGTTAGCGGACTCACAGGTCGGATCGGGACTCTACGCTCTTTCATTCTATGTGGAACTATACCAGGGAGAGAGGGGAATGTGTCTGGAAGTCGAGCAAGACAACTATATTTTGAAATTTTTCCTCAATAAGATCACTTCATGCATTAGACTGATGGATAAAGAGAACGGATATGGCCTAAAAGAGCTTGGTCACTCTACATATGATGTAGATCGACTACATCACAAAAATATCGATTTATTTTAGATGGATCAACAATAAATAGCTATTTCACCAATAGATAGAAATGAGAGATTGATTTCCTCTCTATCTCTTTCAATCTATCATAACAGATCAGACAATCTACCAATCAATTTAAAAATAGTATATTCATCTCGTTTTTCGTTCATTTTCTCCACGTAAACATAGCAAACATGATTTTTTTTTAAAAAACAGTTAAATCAGTTAAAAGTACTCGTTTCACGCCTTTATATTATAGATGTAGTTCCTCCTATATATGTATTATGAATTTGTGATTAGGGACTATGATGCAAAGTCAACTATCCTCAAAATTTAATTTAGTAAATCTATAGAAAAAGTAGATGTATGATATAGCTAGTCAAAGTGAACATAAAGTGCACACAACTTTAATTATTATGGAGGAGATAACTCCACATCATGCAATTAGCGACTTAATTAATTTAATTAAGTTAAATCAAGAACATTCCACATCTAGCAATTCTCTCGATATAAGCAGATTTATCATTTTGCAGTACTCTAATCACATGCCCTTAATTACTGCTTTACTTTTAATTAACTTTTCTTGATTACTGTGATTTTTCCACTAATTCTCTCGAGTTCCACTAATTAATTACATTTTTATAAACCATTTTGTGGCTTAAATATCTTAAGTGACGAACTTGGTGACGCCAAAGAATTTTAATTTATATTTTTATAAAATACTTTTCCCATTGATTAATCATTTGTGTAAGCATTACTCCTAACTTGGTAGTATAGATATGTAATTGTTTTTTAAAAAAGTCAAATCGAATCGAACATTATTTGATTCAATAATTTAAGTGATGGTTTTTTTTAATATTATAAGTTGAATAACACATTAATGACAATCAGGGTTCAACATATAAAAAATAAAACTAAAATGTGGGAGTCGCGATTCAAGCTCGAGTAGGCTGAGAAAATTAAGCCCTCTTTATTACTGCGTCAAGGGTTACATTTGTATTAGTGGAGTCAAAAGTTAATATATACATATTAAATTTTAAAAACTGATCAAATATATATATTTATACGATGTTATTTTTTAACAAAGTGACTTCTGTGGGTCCGCCCCTAATGACAATAACAACAACCAAGTGAGATTTGTAGAAGATAAAATGTACGCAGACTTTAACCCTACATAGGTAGAGAGATTGTTTTCATTTAATATTATAAGGGATAAGACATAAGTACCCCCTAGACTATGACTGAAACCCCAGAGACAGTTTAACTACTCTAAGGTTCTATTACCCCTAAACTTATTTTTTTTGTAATCTTGTACACCTTTTGGCTCATGTGGCACACTCTGTGACTCCACTTAAGTGAGGCGTGTGGGAGATGTTTGGAGGCCACGTACGCCAAAAAGGTGTACAAAATTACAAAAAAACAACAAAGAATCAAAAAGTAATATGACCTTAGTTTAATTAAGGTGTGTCTCTGAAATTTTGATCATAAGGATACTAATTTCTTATCCCATATTATAACAAGAAATTAATAAAAATAAATTGAGTCGAACCAAAATGGAATGTAAAGTATACAAATTGGCTAAACATTAGTAAGTTTTTCCACAAATTCTAGTGATGTACCGATGTTGCACATTATCTAGTAATTTCTTTTTTATTAGCAACTCATTAGGGTTCTCCTGCAATGTTGGATTGTTTTATTCTTAGCCAGAAATTTTAAGGGTATGAAGAAAATTCTATTGAAAATGTCACCCCTAAATGAGTCTTGCTTTAGTCGGAACTTCATTACAGATTTTGAATGCCGATAAAAACAAAACTCAGTATTCGTTCTTAAGATAGAACAAACATCTTTTTTTTTTTAAATAATGAGTTAGGAGTGCAACCTTTGCATGGTTGCAATTTCTGCCACGTAAATCAAATCTTTCTTGAGCATTGCATGCATAAATACAAACTCTTATAGTAAAATATTACACTCAACGAATCTATGATACTCTTGATCAATACTTTGTGTATCACATTAAAAGTTACTATTATTTTACATTACATATATAACAATGAGACATTAATGCAACTCTTGCATAAAGTCTTTAAAATGTAGTATCAATATCGAAGTTGTATCAAAATAATTAGAACGGTTTTGAACTTTTCTAATTTTAATTATATACAACAAAGTAATTGAAATTTGATATAGTATACATTTTATTTGCAAAAATAATCCCCCACCCCCACCGCTTCGCCCCTACTTATCATCGTCCATAAATTAGACACTATTAGAAACAAAATATTTTTTTTCACTTCGAAACAATAGAAAAATTCTATTATACAACATGATTCTTTTATTAATTTTCAATCGAATCAACTTATAGAAAAAATACATACTAAAATATTAAAATACTGAAAAACTTTCTAAAGGCATAGTTAAGATATATAGTGGGCATATGATATACTTCACTAGGGTTAAAGCAAACATATTGAACCAAACCTAATATGGGGGAAAATAACATATGATCACCACATGTTAATTGTCTCCTCACTAACTAACTAAACATATGGTTTTTGGATGAACATATAAAAGAGAGGCTTAATCATCACCACCAATTCTTTAAAGCAACTTATGTGCAAATGGTGCAATCCAATCACTTCAAAAAGTTATAGGCCCCCACCCTCATAAGGGGAAGGAAAAAAAAGTAATCAATTCCTTTTCTAGAACGATCAATCGTTACGCTTTACTAGTTTTTACTTAAATAATAAATAATTTAATTTTAAATTATTATCATATGTCTTCATCGAAAGTGTAATTTAACCAAAAGATCATACTCATCTCTTCCTAATTGTAAGCGGCCCTCCTTTATTAGTTTTTGTTCAAATAATAAGTAATTCGATTTAAAATGATTGTCATATGTCCTTATCGAAAATAGACTCTTACAACTAGAAGATACTCTTCTTTTCCTAATTGGAAACGATTAGTTTTTGCTCAAATAATAAGCAATTCAATATTGGATAATTCCCATGTGTCCTTATTGAAAATCGAAGATTCTTGATCAAAATATATTTTGTCGTTCTAATTGCACAAATAATATAACATTTAAAATATACTCCATATGTTGGTATTGATTAATTAGATAGAGCATAAAACAAATTTTATTTATTTTTTTGAATTTATTATGGCTTTAAACAACATTTTTTTAATGATCAATAAATTAAATCATTTCAATTATTAAAAAAAAATATGAATTCATTGGTTGGCTTTTTTTGAAATAATTCTTTAGAGAATGACTCTGATTTCATATACCTTTCCATGCATGAACCTTTTAAATTACTACCTAATTATTTCTTTTAAGCAAATAAGAAAACGTAAAAATATGATCCATGTTACAAAGTATTTGTATTATAGTGAATGTCTATCATGCGGAGTCCTTTAGGATATGGTTAAAGAGTCCTCCAACTTGGGGACCAAGTTAGATTTCTCCTATAAATAGAGTGCTCCTCTTCATTGTAAATTAATTTATAAAGAGAAATAACAAGTCTTCTCTTCCTTTATCTCTAGCTTCTTCTTCTTATTTTATAGTTTTATAACACGTTATCAGTACGAGACTCTAATTTCTCAAAAGTGAAGGTTAGATTTGAAGAATTAATAAAAGTATTATTTATTCTTTTGTTTTTAATTTTAATGGTCAATCTTACAAAACTAGAGTTCACTGCCTTTCAGAGTTCGGGCAGGAACTACCCCTCATGGGTGTTGGATGCTGAAATCCACCTTGATGCAATGGGTCTTGGAGACACCATAAAAGAAGAAAATAAGGCATCAATAAAACTGTGCACGAGCAATGATATTCTTGTGTCATCATCTTGACGAGATTCTGAAAATCGAATATGTGACAGTTAAGGATCCTCTTGTTTTGTGGAAAAACCTAAAAGAAAGATTTGACCACTTGAAGATGGTCATACATCCAAAGGCACGATATGATTGGATGCATCTAAAGCTACAAGGCTTTAAGTCTATACATGAGTATAATTCTGTCATGTTCAGAATCACTTCTCAATTGAAATTATGTGGAGAAACGGTTAGTGAGATTGATATGATGAAAAAGACGTTCTCCACTTTCCATGCCTCGAATGTGCTCTTGCAGCAACAATATCGAGAGAAAGGTTTCAAAAAGTATTTTGAACTAATTTCTCATCTTCTTGTGGCCGAGCAAAATAATGATTTATTATTGAAAAATCATGAGAATCGACCTACTGGATCTAAACCACTTCCTGAAGTGAATAAGGCGTACGCTCACCATGCTAGGCGTGAAAAAGGTCGTAAACCTAATCGTGGTCGTGATTATGGTCAAGAACGTAATTCTATTCCTGGCATTAATCATTCATCAAATAAAAAGGAAAAAAAGAAGGGATGAGAAACGTGAAGCAACTAGGGAAGGTTGTTTTCGATGTGGTGGAAGAGGTCATTATGCACGTGATTGTCGTACTCCCAAACACTTGGTTGAGCTTTATCAA